CGGCTGGGGTCCGGCCGAGGAACCCCGGGGCGGGGGAAATCAGAGCTACTGAGTGCCAGCGAGTGGACATTGCTCTTTCCAAGGGATCTTTCCCGTTGCCCAAGGAGGGGGTGCTCAGCGCTCGGCGGGTGGGAGCAGGACTCTGAAAATGACCTTGTCTTGCCTAAGCGAGGGCAGCGGATGCCTGTGATACGAAGTCAGAGGAAACTGATAGACGGAGTACGACAGCAGAGCTTAAACAGTCATTTTCCATCAGTTATCCATGGTATTTTCCACACACCTTTGCTCCCTGGGTCACACAGCCAGTTAGCTCGGACTGTCCAGAATTTGGTTCGAATTAGTGGGGCTGGGGCGATCTCTCCGCTGGCACACGGTCGCTCATCCTGAATGGGAGTGTTGTTCCTCCAAGACCTCACATTCTGTGTTATTTTTCACTGCAGATATTAAATGAGCAAGTTGCTGCTTGTCAGGCGACTGGGCTCCGTGCTAAAAACAGCGGCGTAAGCGAGAAGGAGCCATTTGGGGCTCAGTGTTTGGAAGCCTTTGCGTGGTCCCGGGTAGTTGACAGCCTGTGTACCTCTCGTTTCTGCTGGTTCTGACCTGGTTACATCTGGTAATCCTTCTGACTAGAGTGGCTTTGGTTGGATCTCCATAGCCTGTCGTAGTTATGACCATTTTATTTCAAAGAAAAACAGTTACACAGGAAGAAATCTCTTACTGTGTCACAAGGACCATTTTTGGGGAACCAAATTTTGTTTGATTTTTTTGTTGTTTTTTTTCCTTAAATAGTATTTTCTGATTAAAGAAGAAATTCATATCTTATTTTGCTTCTTCACAGAGTAAAAAAAAATGTATTTTTTTCATCTTCTTTAACTGATTTTATTGCATAATGAACATGTATAGTGTAGTGTATTTTATATCTCTAAGAGAGTGGAGGCAAACGTTCTTAAACCCGATTCTTTTCTGTGTCAGAAACAAACGGGAGCAATTTCGTGTCTGCAGCAGGAGGAACAGATTGCTTCTGTGTTGCAGATGTGCCTTTTACGTCAGGTTCCTGCTTCCCCCGAGGTACCCGTGAGTCAAGGATGCTGCCCAAAGTAGGTCTGAGCGTGAGGCGGCAGGCGCTGGCGCGACGGCAGAAAGCCAGAGAAACCAAGGGAAGCTCTGCTCTGGATCTCAAAGTTTCTAAGGAGAAGCGTAGCAGAAATGAAGTCCGTAAGCCTAGTGATGATTTTCCGAGTATGGCGTGAAAGGGAGAGAGAACGCGTGCTGGAATTTCTTCCTGTGCTGGAAGAACAGGGAGCGCGTGTCCGCGCCCAGGGCAGTGGCTGGAACTGGAGTTGCACCGGTTTCAGACTGGCACGTTTTGTCCTGCTAAGCTCTCAGTAACGTTCCTCCGACGAGCATTGCATGTCCTACCTAATATAGTTGCTGGTGGCTTATTATATAAATGAACATCTACTAAAATTATCCAGCTTTCTAATGGAAATGGTAAATTCCATTATAATAATTATCTACCTATCTCCGTTATTTCTTTCTGGCTAATTTGCTTGCAGAATCTAAGCTCTGGTAGGTTTTGTGCTTGTTATTTATAGCATATATATTGAGCTTATTCTCTTGTATTTGCATTGTATCTGTTCTTCAGAAGCAGGTTTTCAGGGGTAATTTGATTGTTCTCTGATCAATAGGAAGGGCTCATTTGTTTGAGAAATGCCTTTGATCTAATTGAATTGAGAATTATTGCCAATATACTGTTATTTAAATTAAAATGGATTTTCACAAATGATGCTATCAGCAAAGTTAGGTTTTTCTAGTGAGAAATACAAAGTTAAAGATATCGTCTGAGAGCAAAGCACTGAGGAAATTTTTACATTTTGTACTGTATTTTAAAGGGGCACCTGGTTTACTTAGTTTTTAAATCAATGTCTTCTCCATGAGGAGTCCTTGTGTGCTGTACGCGGATGCTCTGCAGACCACCAGCACCTCCTAAAGCTGCCCCAAACCCCTGCCCGGGTACAGGACTGTAGCTAAGCAGTTCCCAAAGGTTTCAAAATCTGCAGATCACAGCGGAATGTGTGAGGCTGAAAATGCCATGGAGTCCAGCTCTTACTCAGGTGCCTTTGTAGGGATTCAGGAGCTAACTTAACACACCAGGTTAAGAGAAGTGTATGGTCAGGTGGAGGAAATATGTGATGGTTCTGGCTGTAATACGCAGACACAGATCAGCGGTGGCATTTTAATTTTAAAAAAAAAAAAAGAGAGAAAAACCTTTGGGTTTACATTTAGTAAAATAAAATTCAGATTTTACCTGCTTTTACTATTAGTCTGTTGACTTGGATTTCTGAGTCGGAGATCGCTGTGTCCCACTGCCAGGCAGGAATAATCAGCGCACGGTTCTGAGCCTGCGCCGGGAGGCAATCGCTGCTTCCTCGGCAGGCTCTGCTGGACGTGTGCCTTTCCAGCAGCCGTGCCCTTGTGGGGCTCAAACCTCTCAATAATGTGGTTGTTTCTTCAAAAGAACTCCTATAAACTTTAACCAGACTGAGAACTCGAGTGTTCTCAATGCCAAATCCGTTCATTCCCACCCCGTCGGTGAGTGGGGGGGCTTCCCTGGGGGGTTGGGGATTGCAGCTTTCCCCGGTGACTTGTGATCCGCCTTCGTCTGCTGGGGGGGATGAGGAAAGCTGTAAAATGGGTTGGAAAGTGTTTGTTTCTATGTAGGGGAGGGGCTGACGCGTCCAGCATCACTCTGAGCCACTCGTCGTTTTGGGTAGCAGCTCTGGATGCCTTCTGAAGGGAGCAGCCTCGTTTCTTGTGCACTTGCACGCGGTTTAGCAGTTGCTTGTTTCTCACTGTGATTGAGGAATCACCAGTTACTGATCCAAGCAGTACAAGTGGTGTAACTCCAAGGCAGGTCCGATGTTGGAACTGGTCCGGTGGTGGGGATCAGGGAGTCTCCTTCTCTGGAGATATTCCAGACCCGCCTGGACGCGGTGCTGTGCAGCCTGCTCTGGGTGACCCTGCTTGGGCAGGGGGTTGGGCTCAGTGACCCACAGAGGGCCCTTCCAACCCCGACCATGCTGGGATTCTGTGATCGGGGAGGTCTGGCAGCGTCGCTGTGCGTCGTGAGGGTCCTAACTGTTGTGCGTGGGGTGGGAGAGGCGGGACGGGTACCCTGAGACACGAACCGGAGGGAGTGGAAAAGCATCCTTCTGCTTGGAGGAACAGAAGAGGCGGTGGCTGGCTGAGCGGGGGAAGAATCTTAGGAAGAAAACCAAAGCAGAGCCGGGTTTACGAGCTGTGACGCTGCCGTACGGCCTCGGTGCGGTGGTGGGAAGCCTGCAGTGGCTGCACGGCCGAAACGCGGCAGAAATCCTGGCTGCGAAGCGTGCGGGCAGACGGCAGTGTTCTCCAGCTCTTTCTGAAGCAGATCTGTGATTGAACGTTATGGAAAAAAGTCTTAATTTCCATAATGACTTTTTTAATCTGTCCAATTAACCGGTGAATCTAGACTGAGGGTGCTCGTGTTCCGTTGTATGATATACGAAGTGAGTTCAAATATGTATATACTCCTCCTAAACCTTCTCCCTGCTTCTTCTGAATAACTTCAGGCACGTAGGTAGCTGCGGACATCAAAATGAGAGTTGAATATTTTGTACCTAAAGCATTTCGGTAGCTGTGGAGTTTAAAACGAGCTGAGTGTTCCGTACCTAATCTCAGTGTATATAGGAATCGATGATGATATTCACACTGAATTCAGTGCACATTGGAGCAAGCTTCGCCATGAGGAGAAGCTGCCGTAGGGTTTCCCCAAATAACGGTTCTGCCCAGGGCTAAAAATCAGGCACGGCCCATTTGTGGAACGTGCCTTCTCTTCACCTGTTCTGCATTACAAATAAACTGATTGCTAACGGGCTTGGTCAAATTAGTCGTTGGTGATCGGTCATTTCCATTTCCACTGTGTTTGGGCGGTGTCTCCGTGGGTGAGGCGAGAAAGCCGCTCCGCTGCTGGCGGGCACGGGCGCAGAGGAGAAGAAACAGTAGGCAGATAGGAGACTCCTGGTCGGTCTGAACCCAGCGGTTGAGTACAGCAACGGGAGGAGCTGCTTCTTTTCTTCTTTAACGTGTAATATTGCGTGTGGATTAGGATGGACTGAATGGAATCACTTTGTCCTTGTGCCATCATTCTGTACAGCGTTTGTATATATGATGGTTTTTAGAATGTTTTAATTTTTATGGTGCCTGCTTTCCATGTTATAATGAACTAATGTACCTGCAAACAACGCCTTACGTATTTTTAATTTCCTAATTGCTGAAAGTGTAAAAAAACAAAGCATTTTTTTTTTGCAGATATTAGGCTCTGAGAAATGTTGGACAATGATGGGGTGGGGTGTTGGGAGGGAGGAAGGGAGCTAACTTTGTACTCTAGCATTTTTTGTTGTCATCGCTCTTTCGTTTTTTACTATCTACGGTCTTTTTACTCTTACGGTAGATTGTTTTTAAATATAACACTGACTCAAAAAAAAATAAAATATTATTTTAAAATCTTGTCTAAGAAAATGAATGCATTTCCTTGGCATTTTGGATCCTCATTGCAGAATTTCAGCAACTGTTGCACTGGTATCAGGGGCTACGGATAGACTGACTTTCTTTCTGAACAGGTGAGGGAACCCGAGACGGAGCTGATAGCTGAAGGGCTGCAGTCCTGCGTGGTGCTGGTGTGCTGCGTACATCCAGTACTGAGATACAACACATGTCAGCGCTAGAAGCATCCATCTTTGCATGCTGGCAATATTCATAATGATGGCTTGCTTATCTTTGAGTTGTAAGTTATCTGGTGCTGAACACTTCAGAAAATAAATGAGTTTGAGGTAATATTTTCTACCTCAAGTAGCTGCGACACGATGCAAGTAGCATGACTTACACAGCAGTAAAACTACAACTTTGTTACAAAGGCAGAAAGATTGCCCTTCTCATAACGAGTGGCTCAAATGGTCAATTATATATTCCCATAGTCTTGCCTTAAACCATCGTGTCGCTTTGGACCAAACGAACCCACTTCTTCTTGCAGTGCGAGATAACGTCAGCTGCCAGAGTGTCTAGAATTTACTGTTCGATATTGTCGTACAATTCCCTGTTTGTTTTGCTATTACTGTAATCTCTGTTCAAGAGGAACAAGCTGGGAAGGATTCGTAGCTGCAGTCGATCAGATATTCTTTCCGCAGATGATCAATAATGTATTACAACTTTAATTCTGTAAGTCTTTCATTTAGTTGAAAATCGCCTGAGAGGCTGAGCTTGTGTCTGCGTGGGAGATTGCGCTGGGACGCTGGTGAGTTTTCCTCCCTTCTGTTCCATTTATGCTTTAAAGGATAGGAAGAGGCTTTCGCATGGGCCTTCAGCTGGAAGCTTGTGGATTGTGTTTCTGGTGATGCATTTGTTTTCACACGTCCTCAGCAAATTCCTGTGCTCACGCAAGGGTTATATTTGGCCCTGCAAGACTCCTGGAACAAGAGCCGCGCTTTCAAATTGGTCCTGCAGTACAAACTCGAAATCTCACGCGCGTGCGTGTGTTACAGGTACGCAAGCAGAGCCTGGGAATTGAAAACCAGACTCTGAGATTCACTTTCAGACCCAAATTGTCACCATTTTTACAATCTAACAGCTTCTAGGCTGTAACTCGTGTACAATCCAGCCAGAACGAATCATTACCCTTCTCAAAGTGTTGTAAAAACACACTTCAGCAAATCCAGCAACTGATTCAGTTGCAGTCTCTAAGCAGTGAACAAGCCTGCGAAGGCTGTTATTTTTCCTACAGCATTCCCTCTTCCTTCGTACTCCAGAGGCATCGTATCAGAGCATCCTGGTGCAATATGAATTTCTTGTGACATTGTTTGCAGCAAAGATGAGCCAGTGCAGCACAGCTCCATACGAGGCAATGCAGAAGAAGAAGGTTATTTAATTTTAACCAAAGTGGCATCGCTTACACTTGCTGTCTTGCTCACGTCCTCACAAGGGTCCAGGTACGTGTGTCCGAGGAACATGCCCAGGCTTGCTTGCGGTCACGTTGAGGACAAGAGGTGCCTGCTGTGAAGTCAGCGTCCCATCTCCTGCGCTGTTCTGAGGTTGGTGGACATGTGCTGGTTGCTGAATGTGCCCTTGGTTCCCTCTGGGAGTTGGTGGTGGCTGTGATCTCGTGTCTCTCCAGTCTGTCCTACTTCTGCGGGAATTCATTAGGTGACACTTGATG